TATAATAAATAAAAGAGAAATAAATATTCAAACTATGTGTTGAAATCCACCATAATTCTAGAGAAATAGTTTAGCTCATAATATCTACTAAAAACTTCATCTAAAGAAGATTAGCTATTAATCCATGGCATGAAAATAAGAAAAATATAAAAATAGAGAGAGAAAACTAATAATTGAAGTTTTGTGATATTGATTCTCCCTCAAATTCTCTTACTTTCTTGCTTTATTTTTTACTCTTTTTCTTTAGAGAAATTGCTTACTGCCCTTTCAGAAATCTTTAAAAAAGATCCAATAAATAACCTCTGAATGCCTTAACTTCCAAAATCCCATAAACCTTTTAGTTTTGGAAAATATCTTGAGCACCATGGCTCTCATTCTCTAGAGCCACGCTCTCAAGGGTTCTATCTTGACTTTTGCTTTCTTAATGCAGTACTTCTATTTTGACAAAGATTTTGCCATCTTCCAATTAGAATTGGGTGAACTGGTAATATCAAAGTTGTAGCCCTTCCTTTCAGCTTTCTAGTTGTCAAAGAATCACAGCATTTGGACTTCTGTAGTCTGAGATATGCTCGAAAACCCTAAACATGTGCAGACAGAGCACCTATCCATTATGCACATTTTTTCACCAATTGAAGTATTTTTGATCCTACTCCTACAAAAACATAAAAATAAACATAAATAACATACAACTAAGATTATTAATTTAAAATAAACATTTAAACATAAATTAAACTAAATTAATAAAATAACTAAAAACACCTAAATTCAATCCTAAATTTAATCTAACTTAGACTAATTAGGTATTTAATTTCCAATTGAATATACATATTTGATGCACACAACAATAGCAAAAATGGTAAAATGATTTTATATGGGAAAAGCACATCTATTGAGTTCACCAATGGTTATAAGGTCACTAAATGTGAAAAAAGATCCTTTTCGACATTGTAAGGATGATGAAGAGCTTCTTGGTCTTGAAGGAGCATATCTTAGTGCAATTAAAGTACTAATATATCTGGCTAGCAATACATTATTTGATATATTATTTATTAGTAAGATATAGTTTTTTTTTAACTTGAAGATATTGGAATGCAATTAAACATATTCTTCAATGTCTCTGAGGAACAATGGATATAGGCTTATATAATCAAATGCATTAAAATTAGATATAATTGGTTGTGTAAATGTAGGATTTTTATCTGATCTATAGAAAGCCCGATCCCAGATAAATTACGTATTCACATAAGGAGATACACCTATTTTATGATATTCTGTAAAACAAACTATAGTTGCTACTTTTTCTAACCATTTAGAAATTTTAGAAATTTGTGAGATAAGTCATAAATGTGTTTGGTTAATATCTATAACTTAACATGTTTGAGAAACGTATGGCTTATCAATTAAGAAAGAAATTCTAACAATATTATTTGAAGATAATACTGCTTGTATAGTACAGTTAAAAGAGGGATACATTGAAGGTAATAGAACAAAACATATTTTATCAAAAAAAAATTTCACTTATGATCTCCAAGAAAATGGTGATATTAATGTTTAACAAATTTGTTCAAGTGATAGTCTAGTAGTTTTGTTTACTAAAGCCCTTCCTACTGCAACATTTGAAAAGTTGGTACAAAAGATTGAAATGCTCTATTTTAAAAATCTTAAATAATGCAATCATTAGGGTGAGTAATATATGCATTGTACTATTTTTCTACATCAAGATTTTTCCCATTAGGTTTTCTTGATAAGGTTTTTAATGAGGCAGTACTTCAAAAGCTTTTTTTTGAAAAGAATTATGTACTTTTTTTTCTTCACTGAAATTGTTTTCTTGTGAGATTTTTTCTTTGTAAAGTTTTAACAAGACATATTCTTAATATAATAGATATTCAAGGGGGAGTGTTATGAATTTTTTTGTGAATATCCATTTATGTTATGTATATCTAAATTTAGATGTAAATTAGATTGGATTAATATTAGAATTTAATCTATTCATCTAATTTCTTAGTATTATTTTTATCTTTTAAATTCTATTTAAATAAAGGGTTATTAGCCTATAAATAAACCCTTCACTTCATTTGTAAATATACATTTAAATAAGATCTTCTTACTCCCTCTGAATACTTTCTCTCTCTTTAAATATTTTCTCTTATATTTCTTTTATAGTTGTTATTTCAAGTTATATTTCATTGAAAATTTCAAATATTTAAATAATGAATAAAAAGAAAAAATGGTAATTAAAAGAAAGTAAAATTAAATATGAAATAAAGGACTATTTGTCAAGAATAAAAATAAACAATACATGATTAATTGGTATAGCTCTTTGAGCGAGTATTATGAGAGTGCTAATATCTTCCTTATATGTAACCATACTAATATCATATGCTATTTTAATCATGTGTTTTTGCAAATTGCGAACAACAAAATTAAAAGTATAATATCATAAATGATTTAAAGTTGATAAATAATTAAAATGTGACATCAATTTTCAATTACATCATAAATAGTTTATATAAAATCAAAATTTTATACTTTTTCATTTAATAAAAATCATATTTATATATAATTACCCTTGAACTTTTATTTGTTTTTATATCCATTCACTTTTTACTTTTTTATTTCTAAAAATAAAAAGCAAAAAATAAAAGGGACAGTTAAATAGACGAGAAAAGTAATCAAACAAAGAAGATATGCAAGATTTTCTGTTTTCCAAAGGCTATATGTCGACTTGGAGTCTTGGACCGTATGAAATCCAAGGTTCAAGATTTGAGAACAAAATTGGGGGCCTCACATGTGACTGTGCACTTCTTGAGGACCAAGTATATATATATTGGTAGAGTGATTAATTACTTCAAACCGACAATCCAAATCAATGTTGTATTTCCACCTAAAGAAACCTTGCTACTATTTCAAATGCCCATCCATTTACGTTTATAACCAAAGGCTACCAACAAATAGTTTCATCTCCCACATCATTTGGAATTTTAAGCTCGTAATGCTACACAAATTTCCAAATCTCTTTTAGCAATAGGTTATTAATTAATAGTAAAAGGAATTTTTTTATTGTTTTTGATTCGCATATATGCATATACATGTGTATATATATAGACGTAATATCTAAAAAAAACTCATGAATTATTCAAAAAAATTCAAATAATTTTTTTGTTCTTTTATTGCATTAAATTAAATCCTTATACTTCTATTTTTAATTAAATAAGCTCTTATAACTATGGTTGACTAAATGTTGTTAATCAACATGCCATTTGAGATTTTATATCACGTTATGTTGATATGACATATTGACATATCATAATGGATAGACTTACAATGTTTTCAATCCGAAAAGCATGCTTGTTTGGTGGAGGAATGCCTTTATTTATATTCGTGACATTCAACTCTACCCAATTGTGTAATGAGGTCAACTCTACCCAATTGTGCAATGCCCTTTTTGCAATGGTTCTGTAAGATTGGTGACAATATCTACTCTAACAATTTTGCAACACTGTTGTTGCAATGGTTTTATAAAATTCATGACATTTTATTCTACTTAATTATGAAACATCCTCTTTGCTATGATTTTATAAGATTCGTGACATTCTACTCTATTTAATTGTGTAATGTTCTTGCTCCAATGGTTTTGGATCTATATTAATCTTAATATCTTTTATAGGAATCCCACGTCAATAAAAAGTTAGATCTGCTTTGATATCACTTATCATGGATCCATATTTCTAATCTAAAAGATATGCCTCGTGGCATTTATTAGTCTAATACTCATTTCATCTATTATTGATATGAGATTTATGACATTAGTGCAACGTGAATGAAAAATAACATGTAACATTTTAATTAATAGTAATTAGTCAACAATTAATCAAAAAAGCCTATTTGAAACAAAATGAAAATATAAGAATTTAATTGAATATAATAGAAGAATAAGAACTTATTTAAATTATTTTTGAATAATTTAAGAATTTTTTCAAGTATTATATCTATATATTTACGGAAGATTAGACGAAAGCCTTGTTAAAGCAATTCTAAGAGGATTTTTGAGGGAACAAAATAGAGTACATGGAAAAGGGTAAAAAAATTATAAAGAAAGAGGGGATAAAAGGTTTTGTTTGGCATTCAGCATAGCTGTTACATTACCCCTACGCCCCCCACGGCTTTTTTCCGTTCTATCCCTTTTTTCTCTTTTTTCTTTTTATATTCATAAAATTCCTTATGAAAACAGTGATGGTCATTTGAGGTTTAATCTGTAATAACAACAAATTAAAAATGTTGCAATAATGATTGAATCCGAGCTGATCAACACATTGTTGTAAAATATATAAAACCATAATTTCATGCTTTGATAAGTAATTAAATAAGGGTAAATATGGAGGAAAATTCCTATTGTCGTAGTCCCCAAAGAAGTTATATATACTAATAAGTTTCGGGATTCAGCATATTTGATTTGAGTTTTTATGGTGAGTGAAATTAAATTTTGTTGAACTCCCTTTCCTCTAAGAAGTGCTTAAGAGGAGCAGAAGGGGAGAATGATGAAACCTAAGTGGTCAATGTGTTGCTACATTGAAAGATGAAAGGTTTAGCCCTCCAAAAAGAAGATAATGCTAAGATGATGGTTCCTTAAACAATTTGGTATATTGTTTTTGGAATTGTATCGAAAGAAAGAAGAGTACAGAGGACAAGAAAAGGCTGTAATCTTAAGACCAAATCAAAGTTGAAAGCTGGAAAATGTCAGTTTTCAGTATACGCACACAGTACCTTTTTAACGAAGAACAGAAGGGAAACAAGGAAAATTTCAGCCGATAGGTAGTTAGTTCACATGCATGCGCATAGCAATTGACAGGCATCAACTCCAATGGAAATTTAGTCCACACCATTATTAGCAACACAATGAACCAAGGAAACCAAAAAACCTTAGCATATTATATATATATATATATATATATATATGATCAAAGGAAAGAGAATACATTTTGTCTGGCGGCAAATGCCATATATATATATATATATATATATATATGAATTCTGTTTCATAATCTGCATAAATATTTAAAACCATAAACGATTACACTAAATCGAGGGTTGGTAAATCTTTGAAAGAGCTTGCAAAACGTTAACCTGTAACCTCAAATGCAATATATAATCAGCTGTCCTCAAAAAGAGCCGATCCGGCTGCAACCCTTTCCCTCCCGGAATTAGCCTTTGCAACTTCTTCACCTTCATTCTAGCCGACCTGCCACCTCCACCAGCACCACCACCGTGATCGGACCGCCTCGTCCTCCTCCCCCATTTCACCCTAGAAAACTCTTTGCACCTCCTTGACTCCATGTGCTTCATAACGAAATGTAGAAAAAAGGGAAAGAAATATAGAGAGAGGGAGGAAAAAAAAAAAAGGGAAATGCCTTAAATGTTTTTTGTGTTAAGGAATGAATTCAAAGTTTTGATGTAAAGAAGAAATGAGAGGTGACAGAGCTTTAAATGATGTGAAAAGTTATGAAACGGGCCATGTGAGCCGAGCCTAGATGTGCCTTTCGGCTCTTTCCACATTGAATCATGAAATTTTAATTTAGTTATTATTACTTGGTTTTATTTTTTTTATTTAATTTAATTTTTACTCACACGCTCGATATTTTGTCGTTTTGTATATCTGGGCTTGTGGTGGAGACCCAACAAGTGCAAATCTCTCAACTGGCCTACGCACGTGTCTGACAGCTCTCTCACAGGCCTGAACCCAAACACCACCATATAAAAAAAATACATCTATCCTCGTAATCCTCGAATCCTGACGGTTTACTCTCTGACACGTGTCTCATTTGACCACGTCATTCCTAATCCGACGGCTAAAGATAAACCTCCCCTTTTTTATGGTTCTGCTCACATGTTTGTGTGGCCGTTGAAGGTGCTGTCCAACCAGGCTCCAGGGGTGATGAGATGAGAGAGGATGAAGGTGCGTCGGGGGGTGGGGGAGCGACGTGATCAAATCTGGGGTGGAAAAGCCATTTGGCCCCACTTAACAAATTGGGAAAGTTCCGGGCCGTTGGATTCAGGATATAATTCCTGTAGAGCCCAAAAAGATTATGAAGGTGACGATGATGAAGCGAAGTAAAAAGAAATACGGTATGCATTGTTTGGCTGGAAAGAATGGGGATTTGAGTTGAGAGTTGAGAGGTAACGTAACCAATCTGATTGGATGCTTATATCAAGTGGTTGTTTTCTGTGGAGAGTTATAAACAAAATGGACGGATGGATGGTCCCAATTACAGATTATGCATGCTTATTTATTTATTTTATCTTGCATGGTGTTTGTGCAATGAATTAATACTTAATATACTCGATTAAGTGATACAGATAAAGAAATACTATTGAGCAACATAATTTATTATTGGAAACGAAAATTCAAGTTGATTTCTTTATTTTGGATATTAATTAATGATTAAATGGATATAATTAATCCATGTTGATACTTGTATATAAACTAGTGTTTGTTGTTTGTTGTAGGAAGAATATGGGCAATATCCTTGCCAACTTGCATTTGGTTTGGATAATAAGATAATTAATATGGATCATGTAGATTGCATAAACATGCTTTACAAATGTTCAAAATGGCATCAAATACACCGAATGTTTCCCAAAATCTAACTTAATTAAAATATGGACTCTGTTTGGGATTCCCTTATTGATTTTTCTTTTTCACTATTTTAATGATGTGTGTTTGTTGGATTTCTCCAAGCCATTCCATCTTAGCTGTTGAAAAATGATCAGCGGCTGACTTTTCCTCTTTTATAAAATTCGTATGGGAAGCCGAAAAGAAGATGCAATATGGGCGGCGTAAAACATGTTCCTATATTGCAATTGGACACGCATACTTGATACTTGCCAAGTGTAACTCAATGAAACCATGCATGCTTTGTCGGTGCAATACTTGGCATAAAACTTTCAAAATAACCTTACCCTCGCTCGCATGCCAACCTTAATATACATATATCACCTATAGCCTACTAATTATTTGTAGTCTCTGGGATCAAAATTCGTTAAGATTAATGAAGAAAGAGGGAGGAGTGCCAGGGAACCTAGCCACCATATCCTAGACTTAGAGTGGAGTCGAGGAGCTAGCTAGGGGTCAACCTCCACGGATCACATATACAAAAACACCTATGGGTATAGGTTTCTGTCTACATGCTGAAAAGTTTATATGATATAGAAGTTTGGGGTCCCCTACTTGGTGCCTCAGAAACTTCCAGGTTTCACGAGGACAGTTAAATGCCCATGCCATGTGCAGGAAGATGATGACTTTGCCTGGTATCTTAGTTATGCATGCGTTTCTAGATACAAACACAACATGTAACATCTTCATGTACATCGAATACATACACGTATTATATCCATGCAAACTAACAGTGTTGTCGATCTGATAATATATAATTTCGTGTATGTAAGTTTATATTCGTCGATGTATTAGTCAAAATCAAAATACAACTTATTTATTAAGATAAAAAATTTCAATAACAATCCTATATAATTTGGTAATTATGCAAAAAATATCTTTAATATCTTTTATTGTTGTCAATTGTTATATTTAATTTATCATGTTATTGATATATGTATATTTTGTATTTTGATAAATTGAATGCGTATGATTAAACATTCAACAATGCATGAGTTCGTGCATTTGTACGTATACATGATGATGTTCAATCATGGCTAGTGGGGGTGAGTTAATGCTCGCAAGTTGTAGATGAAGATGATGGCAAAATTCATGTGCCTTGTCCTGCAGGCTAACATGCTGGCTATCAACACCCTTCTATCATTGCCAAGAAGGTTTTAACTCCGTCAAGCTCCATCGATTCGTTGGAAATCAGAAGGGGTGAAATGAAATGGACTCAGGCTTTCATTTATCTGCATTTGGTGTTCATCAAGAAAAGAAAAAAGCGTGTACTCTTTGACAAAAATTCTGAATATATACATATCAAATCGACATTGCAGCATATAATTTTAATGAAATAATTAATCAATGCAGGCGCCATGCGAGTCCAAATCGTTTAAAAAACGGATAATGATTTTTGCACATGTGCAATGTTCATATAAATTATTTACATGTGTGGTTGGTTGGCATGATATCGTCCATACAAAAATGTGCATGCATGGAGTTTATAACTTGTGCTCCGAGTTAATTGTTGCCATTTTTAAGAGTATGCCTGTGACGGAGATAAACATGTAGAAAGGTGCTTCTGAACTTTAATCTTTGCAAACGCACATCACCATGATCACAGCAGACCTGCTTTTGAGGAGAAAAAGATTTACTTCACTAAACTTAATTGGAAATAATATGATAAACCATTATGTCTTGACACATGAAAAACCGATCAAGTAATTAAGTAATATGATTAATTAATATTGATATTAAGACACGCATATCTGGAGGCTATGGAATTTGCAGCAATGGAAACAACCCTCCCATCATAAGAGTGGCAAATAATTAATTAGTCATCAGTTTTATGTGTGAACAAAGCCCCACCTCCCTTGAAGCTGGCATTTTAAGGATCATAAGAGTGGCAAGAGAAAATGGACCCACTGCAGCACTTGGTGATACCCTCTGGCCTCTACAATGGAGGAAGTGAAGTTTTTGGAAGAGCCAATTGCTGTGGCCCTTTTGATATTGGCTCTTCAGGCCGGGTCAGTTCCGATGGAAGGAAAATTGCTGGGGGGCTCAGTCATGTTGTCGCCTTTATTGCAGCCAAGAAACTCTTGGGGGGAGCTTGAATTTTGAAAACCAAAATATGCAACAAGGAGAAAATGGATTGCTTTTGTGGTTTCATATAAAATGCATGATCACCAACTGATTTGTTTCACCAAGGGGTTGCATGATGTTACCATCCAGGGGCCCTGCCTTCCATCATCCCAAAACGGTTTGTTGCACCCTCCACCCCTTACTCCCCATGTGGATTGCCAACTCATTGATCTCGACCATTCATTTAATAACATATACATACTTACATATATGTATTTCTTTAGTCCATTAGTATACATTTGTGGCAATATAAACCCTCTCCTCAATTCAATGGGGAGTGAAGCTTTTAAGATGGAAGAGTCATTTTTTCCTCAGTCCAAATGTACTTGCGATTGATATTTTTAAACACATCTCGGATATTTTATTGAGGGAAGTGATGTTTGATCACTATCTAATAAATTTTCTGCTATATTATTAGCGAGCATACAGTGCGTTAGGGTGGCCAAGGTTATGCTCTATCTTAATTGAAACGCATTCTTTTTGGGTCCCTTGGCCACCAAATTGAAAATAAAACTCCAACTCAGTCTTCATTCCTTTTGCCACTTAAAAATGGAAAAGCAACAAACAGTAAAAAGTGTTCGAATGCATGCTTCTGTTCACAGCTGCGAGTGGCCCATGTTGCCAAAACCCCCAATTACTTGGGATTATTGTACACAAAACAAATCTTACTCATAAAACTACTTAGGAGGCGGGGCTACTTGATGCAGTTTCCTACACTATTTCAACACAAATATAGTTAAGACCTGAATTATTGGCATCAGTTATCAGAATGTAGGGATACAATTAATTGTATTTTACAGCAGTTGTAGGACAAGTCACTCGTTTTAAATGCAGATGAATGGCAAAAAGAGAGGAAATGAGGACTGGGGCAGGCGGGTCTAACCAGGGGTGTAGGGCATGTGGTCAGTCAGGTTAATTAGCAAGAAAGGGGGAGGTTAGTGAAGATGGGGTTTCTTGTCCAAGGCTCTGTGAAGTGAATGCGATGAGTATGTGGTGAAACGGTGAGGGATTGGTTGGATTTGAGCTGGACCTTGTGGTGGGAGCCGATTGCACATGCTTGCACATGTCCTTCCGCAGTTGCCCCCCTAACTAATTCATCAGCTTAATTTCTTGCCCACTGATCAGTGCCCTACCCCCACGGTCATTGGTCCACTCCTTAAAAATCAGTCACTTCCACTTACTTGGCTTACCTTAAGCATTAGCCTCAGACCACAGTTCCCTGGCCACTGGCTAGTAGCCCAGCGTACGATTGTGTTGGGGGTGTAAATAAGTCTTGGGTCCAGATAGTTCCGCCTAGTGAGCTATTGTTTCAGCGAGACAGCGACGTATGCAGCCTAGCCATTAGAAACAACGGAATGACACTGAGTTTTACAAGTTGTTCAACAATCGGTTACAAGGAATACTTTTATAGATTTTGTCTCCCCTTTTTCTTACAAGAGAAAAGAATTGTAATTTGCATATAAATATATATATATATATATATATATATATAGAACTCAACAAATCAGTGCAAGAGAAAAACATGAGATTTTCACTTAAATATATATTAGTGTGAGGTGTCATGGATATTATATTAATAAGAGATGAAATTAGTTTTAAATATATAAACATTAACTTTGCTCTACTTATTAGATATGTTTTTTGAATTGAAAAATAAATAGAATAAGAACATATTC